GCAGCTTCTTCTGCAGTGGCAAATGTTCCCAGCCACAATCTGTTTCCATGGTTATTGGAATCCCGAATCTCCGCCGCGAATTTGCCCCACGGCCGCTTCCTAACTCCCCGGTATTTCACTTCTCCACCTCCGCCAGCCTCTTTGTCTTCCATAATCCTGTCTGTTGAATTCTTATCCATAGTTTTTCACTCATTGCATTACCAGCTACTGCCCTGTATTTATATAAACAGTGAGGGGAAAATTTGCATTGAGAAAAGGGGTCAAATGCTAAGGAATATGAACAAGTAAACTAGGTAATTAATGGTTATATGGGGCGGTTAATTCTTAATCGGTCTATAATTATAATTATAATTATTTAAGTCAGAATTTGAATATAATAAGCATTTTTAGAAGCAGATTTGTTGTGACGTCATTTGATAACGTCATCCTTGATTCCTCATTTTGGTTAGAAAATTTTCTACTTGTATTGTAAGCATATGGTGACCCCAAACAAGGAAAGTGCGTGAATCTTAAAAAAAAAAAAAAAATAAATAAAATAATAATAATCATATCCACCATGACGTCACCTGCATGACATGTTAATTGCATCGTCACGGTGACGTAAAGGAATTCGGTAACAAAAAATATCTGTAGATCCTATTACATAGTGTCAATCATGCTACACATACAAGATAAAAAAATAGGGGAGACACGTGTCGATATATGATTTGACAGTTTGAAAAAAAAAACACGTTTAAGTGTTGTCAAATCAGTTTATCTATCATTTTCATGTCTTTGAGTCTGTTCAATCATCATTATTCAAATATTGCAGATCTGATGGCTAATTCGGAATGTTCTGTTATTATTGTGAGTACTTCACTTTAATTACATCAATTTAAATTAACATCTCCAAAATTGAAACCCAGTAGTACCTCTCCAAAATTTCAATTGTTATGTGCAATCCTGCTTAAGAGAACATACAATAATTGAAGAATTCATAGAGAAATAAAAGGAAAAAGCCTGTCCCGTGAAGTGGAGATAGACTTCCAGATAATAAATTATCACATAGTTCCTAGATCACATCAAACTGCTAATTACAACAATTTCATTTACTCCCAAAATCCAGATTTTCTTGTCTAACTGCATGGCATCACAGGATATTGATTCGATCCCAATATGCTTAGCCCAGACCTTGAACAAG